TGAGTTTATAATTTTTGAAATACCTTAAAGTCCATTGAAGCTTTTCCTCATCTTTGAGAGTAAGCTTAAGCCAATCATTACCGAGGGGTTTAAACTTTGTTCTGTCATTTAAAATGTCTTCCATTTTGGAGACATGATCAGATCTGTTTAAAATTATGACACCTGCACCTTTATCTGGCCAGATAACGACATTTCGGTTAGTGGCAAGTTATTTTAAGGCAGATAACTCAACCTTTGTATTAGGAGAGAGGTTTTTAATGGGTTGAAGTTATAGAATGAGGACAATGCTGCATTTTTTAATTTAGTTTTGATAAGCAATTCTATGTTTGGTGTGTTATCTTTGTTAAAACTAGGAAAGGATTTAAGAGTTCTGTAGATACATTCAAATGGAAAAAAGTAATTTTCTGAGGTTTCAATGCTGATGATAAAATTTGAAGAAATTCAAAAACATCCATAATTAAAGATGATATCACCATATCATATCAAAGATGATATGATATCACCATATTTTTCATATTTATTATAAAACTTCATTTTCCACTTGATGAATCATCTGGTAATACTAATAGTTAGGATATAACAATATTACTATTACTTGGAAAGGTAAAACAAGCATACTGTACCAAACAGTATATCTGGTTTGTACAGTTAAAAACAAAGGTACATAGTTTAAGCTAAAGTGTAACAATCGTAAGTCTTTTTTACTTTAGAAACATATAAATACATGCAACTTTTTTATTAGAAAACTAGTTCTGGAATGACATGCTGATTAATACTGTACACGTACACTGGTAGATTTAAGTTAACATATTGTGACACTGACTTCCATCCAAAAATATTGCATTATAAAGTATAATTTAGAAAAATGAAAGCTGAGTATATATTTTAAAAGAAATCTGTAGGTAGAATATTGGGCTGTTTGTGTTTCATTGCCATACAGTATGATGTAAAATCCTATCAAAAGCTGCAAGAAAAGAAAAACATATACATAATGTATTTCAATAACTGTGAACATATATAGTATATCATTAGTAATTAAATCTGAAGCACAAGTTCTACAGTTTTACAGCTGTAAATGACTATCTTTGTACATACAGTGACACAATATTAAAATGGTTCAATTAAATAATTACAATACAGTGATTAAGATATAAGTGGATTATAAACTGGGTTAATAACAATCTTGAGGACCTTTGTGCATGCATAATGACTGCTGAATTTATCAAATGACTAATGTTTTTAGGAAGGATTAGTCACTAGTGGCTTCAAGAATAAAAAACTAGGGAAAACATTGGCTTTCACAAATGTGCAGAACCCTTATCTCATTAGAAGTTTACATCTGATGAAAGAAAAAGCTCTTTTAAATCTACTACATGTTAACTTCACTACCTTAATACTGTTAAATGAAAATGTTATGTTTTAGACTGAAGATGTTGTTTTGTAGAATTTCTAAATTAACATACACATTTCAAAACTCATAGTAACCAATGCAAAATACAAAAATATTGTTAAAAAGCTCACGTAAAACAACAGTTATTTTTAACATAATATTTAAAATGAGACTGTTTCCAGTCTCAAAATTACAATAAAATACAAATAACTTACTGTACATAATACTGTATATAATATCATGTTAATGTGAAATATATATATACAGGACAAACTAGAAGAAATTTAAAATCCAGAATAAATAAACACAAAAGAAATGTTAAAAACAATAATATTACTCTTTCACCTTTAGCAGAATATATTAATAAAACTAAACACATAATTCAATGGGAAAAGAACTTTTATTTTAGCTCAACCTAAAAATTTTATTAGCATGAATATACGTGAATCTATTGAGATAATTAAATATAAAAAAGTAAATTTAAAATATTGAATAAGGATGATGGAACTGATGGAAATGTTGTCAGTAGATGGTGTGAAATTATTTAGTATGTAAATTGGTGATTTTGTAATGGTATAAATGTTATTTTTGTAAACATTACACTTCTGAGGATGATGCAGTAAAATATGTTAAAACATGTAGAGTGTATGAGACGGTTTCCAGTCTCATCAGGTTTTTTTTAATTTTTTTTTACACTATACATTAAGTTATTTGTATTTTATTGTAAATTTGAGACTGGAAACAGTCTCATTTTTAGAATTTTGTAAAAAGTAATTGTTGTTTTATAAAATGCGAGTTTTTTTAACATTGAACAAGTGTCAATGAATTTTAATAAAAATATAGTTTTAACAAAACCAAAAATACTACAACAGCTCAAAGAAGCACCACAAGTCAGTTCTACACTGACTTTATAAATTCAATTCAAATAACATTATTATTACAATGAATTTCAAACTCAAAAACTCACCCTAGAATGAAATATATATGTTTAACACCTCTTTGTACCACTTGTTTTAAAAGTTGTTATCTTAAAATACCTGGAGATCTTGGAAGATAATTCTTTTTCTTTTTCTTCAAGCATGTTTCGTAAATCAATAAGCTGCTGCGTATGCTATAAAATTGAAAATAATGTGAAATACAAAGAGATAGATACATTTGAACTTCTAGAAATTAGTACAAGATCATATAGCATTAAATATTACATCTTTCCAATTATTTAGATTTTTATAAAGGAAAAATGGAGAACCATACACAAAATATTTAAGATCAAGGTGAAACAGCAAGTCATAATCAACTAGTTTATGATAATGTGAACATGGTAAACCTGTTACTCTGTATAAGACCAAGAAGCAATTTTATAATTCTCAAGCACTAGCATCCTTTAACTTTTGTAAAAAATATATACAATATATTTCAAAACATGTTTTCAAAATTTAAGAAAAGGAGCTTTTTTTCTAAACTTGAGGTAATAACAGATTCTTTATAGGCATATTGCCATAGTTAATATTTAAATCATAAGGCATAAAATATAATACTAAATACAGCAAAATCCATTAAGTATATAACTGATATATCTTATTGTTAAATCAGATTATGACTTTACACAAGTTATACACTATCACGTGGGCTATCAATCTGTTATTGATAATATAAATAAGTAGTACACATATATAAAATCAAGATGAATCATGAATCACAATAGTAGTTCATAATGGGATTGCCAATTTGTTCTTCTTCATTATTATTTAATATCGTTCCACCAGCCTACAACAAAAATGGTTGTGAGTATTGTAACTAAACCTGGGCAATATTACTAAATGCATTATTGCCTAAGGTAATTTTGAAGATCAGTTGACTACCTAGCAAATAACAGTGCTGTATAACTGTTTACACCTAATAGTTTTAATGTAGTCCATGGTTTATATGGAGCCTCATAATGTACTAGATGTAATTATTTTTATTATATTGAACTTTAAGCCATGCCTGGGCTAATAATACAGAAGTTACAATGATGAGGTTCACGTGCACTCGTGTTAACATATCAAATAACATAAAACTGACCTTTGTTCTGTACAAAGTAACTTGTCTTGGTTGTGTTTTAGTATAGTATTTTGTAAAATATAGTCACATTTCCATTATTATACATCATATATGTATATAGATTATTGCTATTATCCAATAAGTTCTTAAACTTATTATTTTTAAAACATAGAACAGTAGTTAAAGTAAAGCAAACAATTATCTCTTCCAGTTACGACCTTTGTACTCAGTTGCTGCTTGACGTAGGTTGCTATGCCTTTGAAAAATTTGCACATGGAGGATATGAAACAAAAAGATTTTTTTTAGGTTTTGTATATACATTTGAATAACTAAAAAATCATAAATTACTACATTAATAATATAGAATTCCACTATAATTTATCAAGCCTAGTAACTAAGATGTATTTAGTCTAAAAAGATACGAAATTTTGTATCCAAAGACGTTAAAGTGGCTGAGAAAGCCATTATGGGGACATTCTGAGCTTCCATTTGGTTATTCAATTCATATATAGAAGTAAGTGTATATAAGGTAGCATTTCCAAAAATGGAAAGAGTTGGTCGGGGTGCCACTGTG